TCTTCTGTTTATAATCTACTTCTGCCCTTTGAACTAATATGTTCTGCTCCTAGCTCTGTGGACCCTGGTGGTAACTCATGATACCAGGGACTCTCCCACTTTGGGCCTTCTTGTAGATATGCTGCCCTAAGCAGGTGCTGTGGAGTTGGTCTTAGCTGTGGGGCAGGGGCACTGAGCCAGCTATAGCAAGAAACATTTCCTAAATGGTATTTAATATAGCTAGTAATATTAATGGGGAATAAAAACATACTGCTTAGAAATAAGCAGGGGCTGGGGATGTGTCTTAGGGTAGAGTGCTTGCCTAGCATGTGTGAGGCTCTGTGTTTGTGGTCCTAGCACCACAAAACAAACAACAAAAAATAATTATAAATCTAAAGTCAACAAATGTCTATTTTTCTAATATGAAAATGCGTAATTTTTTTAGAGATGGAAAAACTTGAAATAAGTAGAAAACATCTTCATATTAATCCTTCTTTTCATATACTTCAAATTTGTACTTAATGCCTTTTTCCTCCTGGACCTCAGAAAGAACACCTGGGTATCTATAAAGGAAAAAGATGCAGAATTACATTGTATATCCACTGGAAACAGAGATTATCCAGAAGTGCATTCTCCTTTTATCTTCCAAATAGTAAGTCACTATTAAGGTGAGTGAGTATCAGGCAAATACACTACATATGCAAATGGTAAGAAAAAAAGCAAACCATAAAGTTAGAAAATGAAGTGCAATTTCTCTTCCTTTTCTTCTGATTCCTTTTTCTGAAAAGCTAATAGTTTCTTTTTTATCTTTCCACTCTATCACTGAGCTGATAAGAAATTTTCTAAGAATTTTTCTATTAGTCTTAGAGTTGGTATCACATTTCTTATGTTAAGCAAAAGAAAAATAAATTATTACCTGAGGCTGTTAAGAGTACAAGTAAAGTTATGTGCATGGTGACAGATCCTCAATTTCTGTTTACTTGAAGACACTACACAGCTCTAATTCCCCAATGTGTGGCATACTGCAATTGCTCTGCTAGAATCACCTGTACCTGATCTTTCCTATTCCCTAACTCTCACTTAGGTCTCTGCTTCCATCAACTTCCTGTACAAATCCAGGATCTCCGCTCATACTGCTCTGACCAGTAGGCCTTCGACAGCACTCTCACATCAGTCCAAATCTTGGTACTGCCTCAGTATCTGGCAGGTTGCATCCAGTTTATGCCAGTGCGGGTCAGGAGCAGCTGCTTCAGTCACACTGTGCCTGCTCTAGGCCTGGCTGGCAGTAGATGACTTTATGCCCATGAAAGAACTTATCATTGTACTTGACACAGTAAGTGCTCCAGGAATGTTCTTTTTAGTGTATTACTGGTTTGTTTTGTCCCCTTAACTATTTTCCAAACATACTGTAGGCAAGGATAATATAGGGAAACTTAATTTTTTGTGATATGTAATATATTACTAAGTAACAGGCATTACTTTTTTTTATTAACTGATTATAGAGATGCCATTGTGATTAAAAAAACCAAGAGTCAGGCAGAAACAAAAGCATAACAGTGTGTGGGGAGAAGAAAAGTATGTTTTCTGGGGAGTAAACTGTACTTCAGAGTGAGAAGCCATGTTTCCATTTGCCAATCACTTTGTTAAACTACTGCTATTCCACTGTTTTAGTAGTAGGACAGTCTTTTTTTTTTTTTTTTAAAGAAATAATTTTACTAGGCAAATTTTAAACCATAAGTTAAGTTTCTTTGGGATGAGTCATGAAAAGTAACATTTACATAATTTTTTTGTGTGTGCACAATTTTCAAGTGTGTCAAGACTGTCAGCTAACAAGATAAAAGCAAACCATGAAAAGGCTCTTTCTAAAACCAAGAATAATAATTTAGAAATGACTCTGCTATTGGTGGAATATGATCAGCAACCATGGTATTAATGTTACTGTGTGAAACTAAAATTTAATTCTGCTTAATTTTCATTTTTCTTTCTCTAGTATCTTCCTCCCTCCCTCTATCCCTGGGACTGGAGTTTGAACTCAGGGCTTTGCCCTAGCAAAGCAGGCTCCCCACTGCTTGAATAACACGTCCAGTCTCACAATTAGATTCTGAATTCAAGTTTGATAGGTTCCTAACTATTTGTTAGGAAACACCCACATAGAGAATTCCCTTTAAAATCTTTAAGCATTAAGAAAGCCAATGCATAAACATCAGATCTGAACTGACAAAGGACCATAAGAACAATCCAGTGATGGAAGGTCTAAGGGGTAAGGAGTTACACATAAAAAACAAGTTACAACTAAAATAAAATCAATACTACAGGAAGCACTGGCTCTACAGCCAAGAGATATAAAAGTAATGTGGAGAAATATGCCAATATCCTGGAAAGTCAGGAAGTGATGGGGTCAGAAGAGGAAAGAAACATCAGTTCACCTAAAATCTACTTCAAGATGCCCATTGATAAGGGGCATCCGTCTCAGCTCTGGAGCCAACTGCATGTGGTGAATCCCCCAACGGTTTATGTGCTGGAGGCTTGGTCCTCCACATGGTGATACTGGGAGGTGACTATGCACCTTTTAGAACTGGGCCTAGTGGAAAGTATTTAGGTAAATTAGAAGTGTACTCTTGGAAGGGACTGTGGGACTCTAGACTCCCTGGCTTCCACGTTGAGATGTTATTTCCTCCTCCTGTCTTCCTGCAATTGTGATACCATCTGCCATGAGATCTTCACCAGTGCTGAGCTGATGCCAGTGGCATGCCTTTGAACTGCCAGATCTATGAGCCAAATACACTTCCTTTCTAAAGATAGCCTGCCTCAGGTATTTCATTACAGCATTGAAAAAATGGACTAATACAGCTTCTAAAGATCCCTTTTCGTCTTTATCCTCTTTTGACTAGGTGGTCACATGGATGGAAGAGACTGTTTGGGACTCATTAAACAGAAAATTGTGACTGTAAAACATGTGGACCTACTGGCTTGGTTGGGGCCACATGTGAGACTGAGACAAAAAGAGTTCTTCCAAGCAAGATGAATGAGAACACAGCCTTATAGGACAGGGTAGCATGGTGCTGTGGAAAGAATAATTGCACAGGCAATGACCCATGAGGAAAAAAGGCAGGCACAAAGAAAGACCACCTTATTTTGTTAAATAATTAACTTCTGCACTTAGGCTTCTACCATTTGTGGCTTTATCTGTTTTCTAGTTTTATTCTCTTCTTGTCTCACAATAGTACTTTCATCTTTATTTCATGATACTAGTGCTTTTTTAAATTTAAGTACGTTGTTAATAAAAGATACTGTGTTTGAACTGAAACTCGGATATCCACTAGAGGATACTGACAGAGATAATGTGAGTGTAAACTAAGGGGGTATTGTTTTTTTTTTCTTTTTTCTTTTTTTTTTTTTAGTTTTGCATTTTTTTTTTTCATTTTTCTTTTATTATTCATATGTGCATACAAGGCTTGGTTTATTTCTCCCCCCTGCCCCCACCCCCTCCCTTACCACCCACTCCACCCCCTCCCGCTCCCCAACTCAATACCCAGCAGAAACTATTTTGCCCTTATCTCTAATTTTGTTGTAGAGAGAGTATAAGCAATAATAGGAAGGAACAAGGGGTTTTGCTGGTTGAGATAAGGATAGCTATACAGGGCATTGACTCACATTGATTTCCTGTGCGTGGGTGTTACCTTCTAGGTTAATTCTTTTTAATCTAACCTTTTCTCTAGTTCCTGGTCACTAAGGGGGTATTGTGCGGAAAAGAAGAAGGGGGAGTGGAGAATGATCAAAGTTCCTATCTAGACAGTAGGGAGCAATGATTAAGTTTCCCAATGTACAGAGGTTTGGAAAGCTCTAGAATTGAGTAGTGTTTGTTACAGTCTTCCAGGGACAAAGGACATTTATTTTCCAGAGGTTTTGCTTTTCTTAATAAAAGACTGACCTCCTCTAGGTCTCCCTTTAGGGAATTCCCTCCACTCCATGTTAAGGAGGCTGTTATACTAGTACAGTCCTGAATGACCATCAAATGCTGCAATGGAAGAAAGAGTTTTTCATTTTCTTCCATAGCCCTTGTTTAGAATGTCCATCTCAGAGCAATGTCTTTGTTCCTATCTTAATCCACTCACCATTAAATTTTCTAAGACACTTAAGGAAATACTACCTTCACAAGCACTCCAAAAAAACAGAAAAGAGCACTTCCCAACTCATTCTGCAAGATCAGTCTTATCCAGATAGCCAAACCAAGTGAAGACATTAAAAACAATCAACAAAAACCTACAGACTAATATCCTTTATGGATATGAATGCATAAATTCTTAAAAAAAATGCTAGCAAAATGAATCTAGCAATATGTGAAGAAGGTTATACACAATTGCCAAGTAGAATTTATCCCAGAAACATAAGATTATTTTAATATGAAAAATCAATGTAATATGCCAGATTAACAGTACCTTACATTCCTCTGTGATAAAAATGTGATGAACTAGAAACAGAAGAGATTTTCCTCTATGTGATAAAGGGCCTAACAAACTCACAGGTAACATACTTAATGGTGAAAGACTGATTTCTTCCACTCTAAAATCAAGAAGATGAATAAGTAAGTTTGTTCTTTTCACCTTCTAGTCAACATTGTACAGGAGATTTGAGCCAAGGCCATTAGGCAAGAAAGAAATAACCAATATCCAGACTAGAAAGGAGGAAGTAAAACTATCCCTATATATATAATCCTAAGGAATCTAACCACAATTACAATTATTGAATTTAGCAAAGTTGTGGGATACCAGATCGACAAACAAAAATCACTTGTAGTTTTACAGACTAGCAATGATAGTCTAAAAATTAAGGAAACAATGCCACTTACAATAGTATCAGAAAGAATAAACACTTTAATGAATTTAACAAATAAGTACAAGATATACACTGAAAGCTATAAAGCACTACTTAAAGAAACAGCATCTAAGTAAGTAGAAAGGCATCACATGTCAAGGTTTGGAAGATTTGATACTGTTAAGAAGGCAATACTCTTCAGAGTGATTTATACAAGGCCTGTCAAAATCCCAGTTTGTTTTCTGGCAGAAAACAACAACACTGATCAGAAAATTTGTATGGAAATGCAAGGGACCCAGAATAGCAAAAGCAAACTTGAAAAAGAACAAGTTGGAAGACTGGAACTTCCTGTTTTAAAAGTTAGCAATCAAGTTGGTGTAGTGCTGGCATAAAGACAGACATATAAGATCAACAGAACAGAATTGAGAGTGCAGAAAAAACCCCTCACATTTATAATCACTTAAGATTGTGGCAATGGTCACACAATTGTGTAAAGGAACTAACATTACTGAATTAGATACTTTCAACAGGTGAATGTTGTAAGAATGCCCTTTCAGCAAGTTGTTAATTTTTTTTTTCTAAAAGTCAGAGAGCCAGAATGGTATTTAAGTTGGCAAGAATCTTAAAGGGTCACAGTTTTGGAAAGAGTTGCAATTGAGAGCAGTGAGGTTTGGCAACATATTTAAATGAAGCTGATCCACACAGTAGTCTATTCTTGTTGTTTGGAGCACAGAGAGAGATAAGAAATAAAAGCTGAGATCTATATTCACGTAATGTGAGAATCAGTAATCTAAGGAAAAGAGAAAATATAACAAGTGATTTTTACATAAACATATATGAAATTGTCGAATGTGATTTTTCTAAGTACTGACCTTTAGCACCTAAGCCAAAGTCTATACTCCAGTTGCTTAGAGCTCTTATAAATTTCAGTTTTCTTTAGAATTAAGAGCCTAAGAAAATCAGTCACTCCATTTGATTCAAGACTATTATTTTTTAGAGTAATAGACTACTATTCTAAAGTTTGGCTAGCCATTTATTCAGACTTAGCTCATAATGTTAATTTAGAGGGCATTTCAAAAACAAACACTAAAAGGATAATTACTAGTTACAACTGAGAATATCTGAAGAATGTGCTAAAAGCTGGTCTAAAAGTATTGATGTAATTAATCTTTTTTTTTACTCTTTCTAGCCAACAATTGAAAAGTGCTTTTAAAACTAGCTATTTTGTGGTTTCACAATCAGGCAGCCTCATGCTGGGGTCAGAAGTATAACCACTTTTCTGCATCTAACGTCATGGCTACTACCTTAATCTAAGTCCTCACATCTTTCACATAAACTGGAACTAATTGGTCTTCCTCACTCTTGCCTCCTTCAGCCCATCCCCCATAAAGCAGCTATAGCAATGTCCTCTTTTTTCAGAGATCCTTGAATGTGCACTTGGTCTGACCAGTGTTGGCCTCCCTCTTGCTCACAATGCCCACAGTGGCCTCCAGGCTCTAAGGACAGCCAATCTCATTCCTGCCTCAGTCTCTGCCTTAGCTGTTTCCAGTTCCTGAAATGCTCTTCCTGCTCCTGCATGGTTCTCTTGTCGACATTTTGATCTTCATGTACATGTTACTCTTCAGAGAGGATTTCTCAGACTTCTTGGTATCTCCCATACCACAGTGCTTCAGTTCTCTAAGCAGCATGTCTTTTGATGCCGGTTATCTGCCACCCTCCCTGCTCCTAGAAGGGATGTAATCTCCAGGAGGCAGCAATATCATCAGGCTTAGTCAACACTAATTTCTCTAGTGCCTAGGATAGGTCTGACTGTCCTAAGGTGAACTAATGACAACTCTTTTAGGTTCTGCAAAATCATTAACACCTGAACATTTATGGAAACTCCTACAGTATCTATCTATAAAAAATATTGCCACCCCAAATTCGATCCCTCCAAAAAAGTTCTTTTCTGTAATTCCTAAGTGGGCAATTCAAAAGTATTTCAGACTAATCAGTAACATTATACTTACTCTGGGAGAAGTTTGTATTTTTCCAAATCAATTTCTGGAAAAAAGGTGTCACTTTCAAATTCCTGCATGATCCTTGTCACAAATAGTTTAAGATGGCCTGGCTGATTCATGGCTTCCTGTGAAATAAAAGAAAAGGTATCAATTTCCTTCATATGTGTCAAAAGATATAGAACTCTAAGATTTTCATTTTAATTAGTCAAGTTTATTCTAAGTATTAAAGATAAGTCTATTACTGCCCATGCACACCATATATATATCCTATTCTAAAGTTTGGGGCCCTGCAAAGTGTGCCTTAGTTACCTTGAGAATGGCACTGATCAATATTATTAATTATGAAAATATATTTTGGCCTTCAGTTTGCTTACAAGAACTCTTTTTTAAGAAATTTTCTATTATTCTTACTTATTTATCTATTTTTTGCATCACTGGGGTTTGAACTCAGGGCCTCACACTTGCTAGACAGGTGCTCTACCACTTGAGCCACTCCGTTAGCCCTTACAAGAACTCTTTTTTAATGTAACCATTTGGTTTGGCTGTTTACCTTTGGCTGCCATTTCAAGAGTTAGCCCTAAAGAAAAGATTTACATATGTATACAGGGGTAAGACAGTACTATTTCATGACATCTAGATTATTGAAAATACTTCTATAAAATTTAGTAATGCTTCAATTTCTCAGTAAGTAGGTAGTTCATCCTGTGTCTCATTGCTAACAAATACTCTTTGCCTTTTTTGTTAATGACTTTTCTAACTGCTGTCTATAGCATTATTAAGAGTTTTGATAGAAAAAACTCCCCTTGAGCAAATATCTTAAAATTTTAATAGAAAGGATGACTCCTAATTGTAAATCCAAGAAAACAGTAATTTCTGATGCTCAAATATGTATAATGAACAGAAAAAAAGTGTTTACCTATTTACACATATATGAAATTCCAGGTCTTTGTTATTCTTAAAATTACAAATAAGGGCATAGAGCAAATTTTACTTTTTATTTTCAATACTTCAGTTTATGTTATATCATTTATTGTCCTTGCTACAATAAACATTCTACAAATTCTTACTGTACCCCAAAACCAGAAAAACTGAACAGCATAGGAACACTTGAAGTAGTATAAACTTCAAGTTTTAGTACTTGAAGCAAACTTTCTATAATAGGTCAGACAGTAAGGGCCATAGGGTTTCTTACTTTTATAGGCAAGAGAAGTTATAGACAATACTAAACAAATGATGATGACTGTGTGCTAATGAATCTTTATTTACATGATCCTTGGGAAGACAAGCTTGAGTGATCTATGAGCTATTACGATGTGAGGTAGCGGAATAATGCAAAACTGTCACCTGCAGGTTTTACTTCCTTATTATAAACCAAATTATTTTTACTGGTAGTACTGGGATTTGAACCTAGGGTTTCATACTTGCAGAGCAGGTACTCTGCACTGTGAGCCACACCTCTAGTGCATTTTGCTCTGGTTAGTTTTGGAGATGTGGTCTCCTGAACTATTTGCCTGGGTTGGCCTCAAACAGTTATCCTCTTGATCTCAGCCTCCCAAGTAGCTAGAATTATAGACATGAGCCACCACCATGGCTGTAATTCAAATTATATAAATGCATTTAAGTACTTATAGTGTTTAATGAATTCATTTTCAAGTGAATATGGCATTTAATCATTCTAAATATGGTAGGTACTAAACAAAATAGAGAACTTGTTTTCTGGAAGAAATTTATACCTGAATGAAAAGATCAAAAACAGTATTTTACAAACGGGGAGAGTAAGGTTATAGAAACAGGAATGTGAGAAAGAGTTTCTTACAAACCCCTCTAGGATCTTGGAATAACTTCTAATAACTCTTCTTTCTCAAATAATCTCAAAGCATATATTTAACCCTAAGACATTGGGGAAGAGAATGATTTTCTTACTCCTTATAAATGTTAGTGTTTGGGCTGGAGTATATCTCAAGTGGTAGAGCATGAAGCTCTGAGGTTTGGTCCCCAATACCACAAAAGGGGAAAAAAAGAAAAAAGCTGTTTCATTAGTTTTTTTTTTTTTTTTTTTAGAGTCAAAGAATAACTTCAAAAAATTTAAAGCTGGAAGTCATTTGGTATCAGGAAAAAGCAGTATTTTCTCTTTTACACACTATTTTCCCTTATGATATGAAATCATGTAATCCTATGTTGTCACATTACATGAAAATTGTAATTTTTAAAAAATTCATATACATCTGTTTACTGTGTGTCAACTAAGAGCCCTATCCTTTTCTTAGTAAGATATCTATCCTGGAAGCAGAGGGGACAGCAGTGTATCTAGGGTACATGCAAGGAATAGAAACCTGTATACTGCAAGTACAGTTCTCAGAAAGAAGTCTAGAACATTTTTTAAACTGGAAACAATGACAATTCTAACTGACACGTCTAGCTTACAGTAGGGATATGTGCTGCTTCCTAGCCTCGTGGATTAATTTTTTTAGGGTTTTACACAATTGTTTATGTTTAAAATTGGTTATGTCTTCCCAACCTCCCTTTAAATGAGAAGGGAGCTGAAATAAAGTAAGGAAGAGCATTTCTTTTTATTTTCAGACTTTACTTACCTTATAAACAGAGCTGCCTCCTACTATCCAAACCATGTCCACTTTATTTGCTAATTCTGGCTCCTCAATAAGTTTTAAGGCATCATTCAAACTTTGGGCAAGAAAATGAGCTCCTTGTGGAGGTTCCCTGGGTTTAAAAAAAATATAGTTTTTATAAAACCCATTCATTCTAGTCAAATAACCTGAATAAGAAGCAAATTAAAATCATGTTAAATATAATTCTTTCAACAAAAGTACTTAACATCAACATGGGCTATGATCATTATCCATTCTGTATTTTGTGCATGTATGGTTCACATAAATCAAAACACAAAACCTCATGTAGTATCTCATGATATCTATGGTGGAAAAAGTCTTAAAAGTTGTCTCTGTAGCAGCGGGGTAAAGATTAACTGGGAGAGGGCATGAGGGAGTTTCTGGAGGCTAAGGTACTTTTCTGTATCTTTGGGTTTGGGTTACACCATTGGAAAAATTTAGTCACATGTAGACTTGTGTATCTCACTGCATGCACTATTTACCCCAACAGACGAAAATTGTAAAGAAATACTGAAATGTAGTTAATGACATATTTAAAGTCTGTAATTTATTTTGAAATGCATATGCAAATACAACCAACTGAAGGATGGATGGATATGTGATAAAACCACCTAAAATAAAATGTTACTGACAGAATCTAGGTGATGGGTGTACAACCCACTTACATGTTTGAAAACGTTCACGATAAAATGCTGAAAAGAGAATGTCTGAATGACTTGATTGTAGAAAAGTTCGGAGCGATGGTCAAACTGTTAATATGTGGTTACCTCTGGGAAGTGTGGAAAGGACTTGCATGTTTTGAACAATACAGAGATGGGTAAAATATTTGAAAATGAGCTTGTTACCACTTAGGCAACTAAGTATCCAGAAGAGAAAAAGTTAAATAATTTCATTGTTTATATTGACTACCTTAATCTCTTTCAACTTCCAGATTTTTTTGTTGTTGTTGTTTGGTTAGGGATGGGAGTTGCTATTCCTTTATAAATAAGGAAACGTGAAGAACTAAGCTTTCACAGTAATTAGATACAGAACAGAAATATTAACTCAATGTTAAGTTCTTAGCCTGGTGCTTTAAAAAGATTATATAATTGACTTTGAACTAGTAGTTATAACAATGATTAATCAAAAATGGGAATTATTCATTCTCTTAGTTGCATGTTTGCTTTCCTGGTATCTATTTCACTTTTTTCACTCTTTATTATCTGTAAGGGAGCTAGGAAGAGCAAAGAATATTCTTTGACTCAGGTTAGAAAAAGAAGTACAAAGTGAAGTTAAATGAAGTTAAATGCCTAAGGTTAGCAAGGCAGTTATAGGGACTAGATTGGACTAGGCTGTTCAGAGAATTGAATCTAGAAAAAAACGATTTGGAGATGGGGAAGAAGATGGTCTAGTTAATAGATAAAATCTAGGTTGACTGAAACAGTCACAGTGGTTTGAGGAACTGAGGATGCAGAAGTCAGGATTGAGAAAGGAGATGAACTAGAATGGAAAATGATGATTAAGGAATTGACATATAAGAAAAACTGGAAGACATAGCCCTAAAATTGGTAGATAATAGCAATATAACTTCCAAGGTGTTATAAATGGTTGGTGTAGACTTCAAAGAAAAGGGGCAATAATTTTGTGAAGACTGTGGAACAATGGCTTGAAAATGGCTCAAGAGATCATGTGAAGAGTACCTTTTTGCCCTTTGTACTAAGTCTGGAAAAGAAAAACAAAGGACAGATTAAGGATTTGTTTCAAATTTCAATTATAACAAAAACATGGGGGGGAAATGTTCCTGCAAAATGTTGCTATTTAGATTGGGCATAGTGGTTCACAGCTATAATCCTAGCTACTTGGAAAGTGGAAACAGGAGGACTGGGGTTTGAGGCTGGCCATGGGGAAAAGCACAAGACCCTATCTGAAAAAAAAAAAAAAAACCAAAGCAAAAAGGGTTAGGGGCAGAGCTCAAGTTGAAGAGCACCTGCCTAGCAAGAGCAAGGTCCTGAGTTCAAGCCCCAGTAATGCTTATTTAAAAAAAAAATTGCTATTTAGCAGTTTAGAAATGTTTCACAGGAAAAAAATCCTCAGATGGCTAAAAATGAAAAGGCTAAACATTGAGTTAATGTTTGAATTCATCAGCCTCTTTATGGCACACATTCTAAACAAGAACACAGTGAAAAACAGTAAGCATTCCATTTGGGACTTATTCATAGCTCAATTTCCTGTCTGTAACTTCTCAAACTGAGGTTGGATTCCCCAACAAGGAAAAGCTGGTATGTGATAGGGATAGCATATGTATTCTGTGTCAAAAAGTGTGTAGACATGCTTGGTGTTTTGTTTGACTTAAGAGTCTTGAATTTCCTTAGAGGACTTATAGAGGATTAAATGATATTGTATCATTTAATCCATTTGATATAATCAGCAACCCTATGTAGGTACCATCATTCCTTCTTACAAGTGAGGAAATGAGGCTGAGGGGTTAAATATCCAATGATCATATAGCTAGGAAATGGCAGGCCTGGGAGTTGACTCCAGGACCTGACTTTGGAGCCAGAGTTATAATGTATTACACAAACAACTAGTGGCCATGGGTATGAGATCTCCTATAAGGTTCTGGACCCCTGAGACATCAGGATGATGGGGCCTAGATCAGGCAGGGTTCTTTGGCCTTGAGTAGGCTCATCTGATTACTTCAAGGTGCTATATAAACCTTACCCTTTCCCTCTGTGCCTGATGTTGAAGAGGTAGAATTCTGGCCCAGTTTCTCTTGGGATTGTTGGGAAACTACATAAAAACAAAAACCCTAGGCTAGAATGGTATCTTATGCAGAGTGCAGACATATGTTCAATTTAAGACCTTTCACACTCAGCCTTTAAAAATGTGATTTGTGGGCTAGTGGAGTGGCTAAGGTTGTAGAGCGCCTGCCTAGCAAAGGAGAGCCCTGAGTTCAAACCCCAGTACTGCAAAAAGAAATACAAGAAATCTTTTAAAATAGAAAAAAAACCATGTGATTTACAATTATTAAAAACTGGTTCAAGTATGATCCATCTTCATGATGGAATACTATGTAAGCAATTAGACATTTACAGAAATTTGTTTTCTAAATATCTAGTGGGGGAAAGCAAAGGTTACACAGTGGCATTATGGGGGAAGATTCTATTTTTATGTCACCTGTGGCCCATTCATTGTGTGAAGATTTCTGAACCTCTACTTTGTTAGATCTATGTTAGATGCTGGGAAGAGATTTCAAAAACAGAGTTCTTGTATCCAAAAGATTGTAATGGTAGTCAGAGAACTATCTCTGCAGTGGTCATAAAGTCTGAGAGGGGCATACAAGGAAAATGTGCAGAGGATGCTACTGGGGTCTAGGAGTGGTACACAATCTGGGGTGGGGTGATGAGTGAGCATGACTCTTTAGCTAAGTGTCAATGGAAATAAAAAAAAGTCTAAAAGCACAGAAACAGCACACGACTATAGATATTTTTGAAGGTTATACTAAAGTTATTTAACACAAGAAAACTTGGGGAAAGTCAAGCACAGAAGAAAAAATAATCTGTGTTGAGTTTTACAAACTAAAGGGTAGGACAACAGAGTAAAGTCCGTAGACAGAAAAAATGTAATGTAGAATAAGGTATAAAGCAGGAGGTAAGAGCTGACTTAGAGAGTAGGGGATTTATGTCTCTGGATTGAGAAAACGAACAAAGTGATTTTGTAAGGTGAAATATGAGATCATGAACTTGTTCATTGTGATCTCATTAATATAGTCTTTTCTTTTTTTATTATTATTATTATCACTTTTTGTTGTGCTGGGGATTGAACTCATGGCCTCACATATGGTAGGCACTAGCTACACTGAGTACAACCCCAGTTTCTAACATTAATATTTTTAACAGCTTTAAGGTAGCAAGGTTGGGGAAATAGGAGTAGGAACTGGTGTCTGTAGGTACTATGCTAGACCACTCTTTGACATTGTGACAAAATACCTGAGTAAAAAAATTCAAGGGAAGAACATTTATGGTGGAAAGATTTATGGCTCACTGTTTCAGTCTATGGTTTGCTGGCTCCAACCCAAAGTTGTCATAGCAGAGAGCATTTGGTAGAGCAAAAAGGGTTCACCACATGGTTGACAGGAAGTAGAGAGATAAAGAAGAAGGGTCCAGGATAGACAATCCTTTCAAAGGCATGTGCCTACTAACCTTCCTCCAATCAGGCTCCACCTCTTAATAGTCCATTCACCCATGAATTCAGTAGTGGATTAATCCATTGGTGAAGTTAGAGCCTTCATGATCCAATCATCTTGCAAAAAACCATCAGCTGGCAATCAAGCCCTTAAACATAAGTCTTCCAGAGATATTTTTAAAATCAAACCATAACAGATACTTTTGGTGTGCCAGAACCCTTACATAAAAAACTTCGTAAATCCTCAAAATCACTCTAACGGCAAGTCTTTATTAGTCCCACTTTAATAGGTAAAGAAGTTGAGGTTTAGCAAGCCTCACTTGTATCCTCCCAAAAGTTAGGAGAAGCCAGAGCAGTTATGAGAAGCCTGAGAGTTAGTGTTTGATGTAGTAAGTATGTGAGTTGGAGGGAAAGGCTTTAAGAAGAGGAGGTTTTTATCATTAGAGATATGGTAGATCACAAAAAAAATTATTAAACCAAGAAATTTAGATAGTTTTTATGGATCGGAGACAATTTGCAATGTCTTATATCATAGAGGCAATTTTGGGTTTTCTAGATATGGTGACAAGGGTACAATACTACAGTAGAACTTCCTTAATTTTTGGTAACTAAAGACTTTAAAAAACTGCTGTTTTGAGATATAAATTACATACCAGGGCTGGGGATACAGTTCAGTGGTAAAGTGCTTACCTAGTGTGCTTGAGCCCCTGGGTTTGATTCCCAGTAAGCCCCAAACAAACAAGTCAAACAAAATCATGTAACACCCAACTCACTTTTGTAGTGTACAAACCAGTGATTTTTTCAGTATATGGAGTATTACAATCAGCACCACTATCTCACACCAAAAACAAACCTTGTACCCATCAGCAGTCATCTTTCGCATCCTACCTCATTTCTTTTAAAGTCAAAATTTGATAGTCTAGAAAGCTTTGGAAAAATATTCTCCCCCCCCCCGCTTTACTATTTAAAGTTTCTACAAGTAACTAGTATTGGATGGCAAATTTTGGGTCACCTTAAGGATTCAGTTTGTTTCCATGCTGGGAGAGGAAAGTAAAAATTGTGTATCTTAAAAGCTTGTGTAAGAATAGTGGTTTCCATGTATAGATGCTGGCACTTTTATGCAGGACCCAGCAGTGCCTGGCACACAGCAGGTGCTATGCGTGTGGAACTCACCAGCAAGTAGGGAAGCAGGAGAATTAGCAAAAGGAAATGAACCCTAATGAAATTCTTTACTAACTGGAATCACTATTTCTCTGGTATGCTTGATAATAAAGACTTTAAATTTTCTCAGCCTTAAAAAAAAAAAAAAGCGAAATTCACCAATTGTTATATATAAACATATAAGAAGCAAACAAACCCAATTACATACACCACAGGAGGGTCATAAAGAAGAAATTAGACTCATCATTTGAGGAGAAATGGTGGCTCAACTGAACATTTCCCCCACTGAGATTCCTTTATGTTTGCTTTAGCTCAAGTTATCCATAAAAAAACTTGAATAGTATTCAAGAATATATTATTAAAAAGTCTCTGGGAATGGCAATATAGTCTGTGAATTTGGATTCTACTAAGAGAAAAGATGATCAGAATATCCTAGCAAGCAGGACAAAGAACAGCATGTAGATGGAGGCAGTTGGCTAGATGCACATATCCCTCATCACCAGAGGTAATCAAGGCAAATATTCTGGAAATTTCTTGATTTTTTTTTTTTTTTTTACCTATTCCATTTTAGGAGGAATATGGGAAAAATGCTATCTGAGGTGGAATCCCTAGCATATAGTTGCATATTTTTTCCTTCCTAGGGAAACTTGGAGAGGTTATGGTTCCTGGTTATTCAGACAGTAGTCTAGGTGTTGCTGGCAAGGTGGTCTGTAGATGTAATGACGTCTATAGTTAGTTGACTTTAGTGTGGGTGGGCCTGATTCAAACCACTAAAGGGCCTTAAGGGGAGAGCTGAGCTTCTCAGAAGAAATTTTACCTGTGCAACTTTAGCCCCTGTTGAAAGTTCCAGCCTGTCCTTCCTATCAGCCTGCTCTAAAGACTTTTTGACTTCTTGAACCATCTCCCATAACTGTGAAAGCCAATTGCTTGTAATGAAACCCTCATGCAGACATATGTTCTACTAGGTCTGCTTCTCTGGTTGGACCCTGGGAAATAACTATTATGACCACTGTTTTCAAGCAAGTAGTACCCTAGGATGCTGCCTTCTTTTGGGTGACTACATTATTAGTTTAAGAAAGAATGCTCAACATCTGATCCCAAACTTTCCCTTAGGTAAGTCAAGTCACTAGCTCACCAAAAACCAAACCAAACCAAAAAAACCTTGAGATTCAAGAAGTTGTTTTAGTAGGTTGGGACCAATGTTAACAACAAAAAAACCCAAAGAAAACAGAAATCAAGATATATCATATATGGAGTAAATGACATCAAAGCCATGGCCAGAATCAACCTACTGGACTTGACTTTTTGGGCAATCTTATTACCCACTGTGCCCCAGGGCATTTCCAGGAATCATGAACTATCTACTCCAATGTTAGTTTGGAGGACAAGAAAATTCTGAGATGTCAACTTCCAATTCCTGGATCATTTCAATATTTTGAAATATCTTTACCATCAGACACTGAATAGAGAACACAAGTACAAAGTATTATTTGGGTATTGTGACTAACTAGAAATAATAAGGTATAAGATTAGACTAGTTTCAGTCCATTCTCAAAGTCACATCTTACTATATTTAGGGCTGGGTCCAGAAAGGGGATAATCACTTAAGTATGGCTAATCTCAAAATGTAGGTATTTTGATTTTTTTGTGAAACTAGAGAAAAGCTATTGATAACAATGTATAACTGGTATTTGAGCTTATTGAGTAATGGTTCAAATTAACTTGGAAATCTGTTAAGATAGTGAGATTTAATGTTTAATATAACTTTTTAAGGTGAAAAAAATCACTTAAGTAACAGAATAAGTTGTCATGTGGTATAACTGCTTAATCATTTTCTATATAATCATCTTTGTGATATTAAGCAGCTTCATCAATAATTACTTTTATATGATTTCATTCTGTCATGTTCTGATCTGTACTCTTAAGAAATGGAACACAATTTTCTTGTGGTGGATTTATATTATGGTACTTACTTGAGTTCTCTACTGAGAACTATATTAATTCTGTCTTTTAAAGGTCGATTCTTCTCAGGAATGGAGAACCAAGTTTTCCTACCCATAATCACCAGATTCTGTTTACCTATAAAATCACACAGATGAGTATATTTTGGGAATCACATATGTTTTCACAGTCACACATATATGCATAGATATGAATGTCACGGTGACATCTAGTGGATTTCCTTTACAAAAACTAAAACAGCTTTACCAAAGTTCACATTTATTACTATTATCTAAATGGTAAGTATTTTTCCCTTTGGCTTTATCCAACTTATTACCCAGTGTTTAATTTTAACCAATAGCAACTAAGTATAATGCAGATTCTGAGTCAATGTGGTCAAGTTGAATGCACTGCATCATTTATTACACAAATTTTCTTAACTCCTTAAGCTTTACTATAAAATCGTTAAGGGGATTAAAGACTTAGAACAATGCTCAACCTCTAGTTAAGTACTATTATAGTTTTTTTGATGTAATCATACTATTCATATCTGTATACTTTGAAAAATGTTTCCTTAAGATTCTGTTCAATTTACCTTAAAACATGCTCCCCTGTACCTCTATCCTTTTCAGCACTGTACTTCCAAGTATATAAAAACTTTATACATATAGCTTCCATTTTGACTTATTTACTTAGGAGAAAAACCTTGTGAGTCAGACATCTGGATTAAAGGAAAATGAACATACTTAGGATTCTTGAGAGTGGTTTATGTCAAGATGGCTCTGCCAGTGACTTAAGTGCCAAATCTAAGGGCCTTCTATCTGACGACTTAACCTTATGTAGCATCTGCATCTTTCTGACTTGTTTCCCTAGTTACTGTCATTCTTCCTCCTCCTATAACCACAAACAGACACGTTTCTTAAGTTTTCAGCAGGACGTCCCTCCACCCCCATATTCTTTTCTTTAGTTCTGTCTTCTCTCCAGTGGCTCAGCTGTAACTAGTTCCCTGTTTGAAATTATCATGCATGTCCTACAAGTGACTGAAAATCGTCCTCATTACCATTAATCACCACTCCCCACTACTTTGTTTCTCCAAGTCACCCAGATCTCTCAAACTGATAATCTGAGAGTTCACTCTTGATGTTGTCATGCATCACCTTTAAGTTGCAGATATTCAACATCGACTGTCATGTAACCGTTTTTAAAATGTGTATCCTCTGCTCCGCTGCCCTAGGTTGGGCCTTATCATCATCTCTTCCAACAGCTATCCCAAAGACAACCTCTGGTCTCCAATGGGAGCGCTAACGTCTGCTGTCAATTTTGCCCAATACTGAGCTGTTCATGTGTACAGACATAAAATGCTAAGGAAATTTTAAAAAAGAATGTTTAATAAACTTTGGGAACTGCATACAAGTTACTGGTAAGAGAACTGGTCTCCAAAAATCGTATGTTCTCCCTCATATGCGGACATTAGATCAAGGGTAAACACAACAAGGGGATTGGACTTTGATCACATGATAAAAGCGAGAGCACACAAGGGAGATATTAAGACACCTAAAGAATTAGCTAGCATTTGTTGCCTTTAACGCAGAGAAACTAAAGCAGATACCTTAAAAGCAACTGAGGCCAATAGGAGAAGGGGACCGGGAACTAGAGAAAAGGTTAGATCAAAAAGAATTAACCTAGAAGGTAACAGACACGCACAGGAAATCAATGTGAGTCAATGCCCTGTATAGCTACCCTTATCTCAACCAGCAAAAACCCTTGTTCCTTCCTATTATTGCTTATACTCTCTCTTCAACAAAATTAGAAATAAGGGCAAAATAGTTTCTGCTGGGTATTGAGGGGGGGGGAGAGAGAGGGGGCGGAGTAGGTGGTAAGGGAGGGGGTGGGGGCAGGGGGAGAAATGACCCAAGCCTTGTATGCACATATGAATAATAAAAGAAAAAATAAATAAAACTTAAAAAAAAAAAAAGAACTGGTCTCAGATTAACATGGGAAACTTTCCCTTTAAACATTTTCATGGGAAACGTCTTTCAAGCAAGACCCTTGGAGAACCTCACATACCTTCTACTGAAGAGGTTGTGGTCATTCTTTGGAAATATTTGAATTCATTCCTGCAAATTACAGAAACAGGGAACATTATCCCGCGGGATCAGGCTCTAACACGCGGTGCAGACGGTGAACATCGTGGGGGATGGGGACGCTCTCTGGGGTCAGGACTTTGCTCTCGGTCAGGGCGCCAGGAGCCAAAGGCCTGGCGAGGCCGCAGGAGCCGCACCGAGATCAACAGCTTGGTTTTGCGCCAGCCAGGTACAAGCCTCTTCTGTTCTTTCGGGGTGCAAATCCCACCCCCTCCTTCCGGACGAGTCGGTCCGGACGCCTGGCCCGGCGCGTCCCGCCCAGGCGTCCGGACCGAGAGCTCCGCGCGCCAGTCTGTGTCCCGCACCCCTGGCCCAGCAGCTACCTGAGCGGGGGCCAGGGCAGGTCCCCGTTCTTGCCGATGCCCATGTTCTGGGACACCGCGACGATGCAGTTTAGAGGCCGAACCATGACAGTAGCAGCTGCGATCACTTTGGAGCTTGCCTGCTACATCTAGCTTCTTCCGCAAGTTTGGCGCGAAATCGTGAGCGCCCCGCCCCCTCCGCCCTATTTGTGCAGACGAGGCCCCGCCCCGCCGCACGGCAGGGTCGCGGCGTGCTCGTGCGCGCGCAGGCGCCGGGGTAGTGCGGCCGCGGGCTCGCGCTCCCGGCAGTGTCCTTCTTGCAGGCTGCGTTCTGGGCCTTGCGATGTCTCGGCCGAAGCCTACGTCGCGCGGCCCAGCCCCTGGAAGGCAAGCAGTTCTGAGCCGATTTTTCCAGTCACGGGAAGCCTGAAGTCCACCTCGGCCTCTCTGGGTGCCGCCGAGAAAGCGGACCCTGGCTCCGCAGCGCCCCCGGCGCCCGCCGTCCCTCCTCAGGTGCTGCTGACTGCGATGGGTTCCGTCCAAGAAAGGGCGGGTCCACTGGGAAAGGGGGCAGGGAACGGTGGGCGGAGCTTGTGGGTGGAGCGGGAGGAGGCGGAGACAAGGCTCAGGAATCCGCACGATGACTGGGCCACAGGAGAGAGGGGCGGGGCCGGGGGAAGGAGGAGGTGGGAAAAGCCCAGCCAGTGGAGAGCCCAGGTGTAGTTGAAAGGCTTTAGTGTCTCTTTTGATTGATAGGTGGCAGAACTGACAGGAACTCCCGTTCCGATGACTGAAGGTGGTTTGTGCTCAGGGGATGCATCTTTTAACATCTGTCCTCTTTCTCTCGCTCTCCTTTCCTGGACTGATTGTTGCAAAGGAACTTTACTTATTTAGATACGTTCGCTGCTTGGGTAACTAAAATAAAGCTCTTGTTACGTCTCTAGTTTTTCAGTCTGGCACAGCATTGCTCACATCACTGTGGGCAGAAGTCTTACGTACACTTTCGCAGTGACTGTGAAGCATGACCTTCAGTTTGGGTGGATAAAGTTTCTATAGAAACAACTTTCTGTTGCTTGCTACCTTCCAACAGAATAAAATAAGTAGTTCAAAATAAGTAGTTTATTTTTGTTTTTTAAACTGGGAATATTGCTACGAGGGAAGGCTTAAGGATGACCCTTTCGTGGGTTCCCTGGTGCATCATGCATGTCCCAAGCTTAGCCTGGGAATGTGGCTTGCCTAGCACGTGCAAGGTCCTGCGTTCACTCGTTTCCCAGACTAAGGATTTGGAAGGGAATTGCAGACTGCCCGGTTTTAATGAGGATGACAGCTAGATTGCTTCAAAGTTTTGTTTCTTTCATTTTTATATTTCTTTCCCCCATAGCGATTGCTCCTCTACACACACACACACACACACACACACTGTCTCTCTCTCTTTGTCTGTCTGTCTCTCTCTGTCTCTGGATGAGCCACATTTTCAAGAATTCACTGAGATTTTGTATCCACCACTTAGAGAATATTTGGTGAAGGATGTACGTTTTCCTGCTAACAAATAGGTCATACTCTTGTGTCATCTTTAGTGATGAACATAAGCTATATAAACAGGAAGTAGTTAAGTTATTAACATTTTAAAAATAACATTGTTCATTTATTATCTACTTTTCCCTTCTAATTTTGCATTTGGTAAATAGAGACTAGATTATTTCTTAGAGGGATTTTATTTAATATATGCAAGAAGAATGAGTCAAGTTTAATAATTTGAGATAGGTGAAGGCTGATTTAATAAGGAAACGTGGCAGACTTAGTTTCAATGAATTCTAGCAGGGCTTGAAGTACTGAGGGGCTCATGACCTCCTAGTTTCCACATCGTGTTTGATGATGGCAAAAGCAGTTAACCCATGGGCCCTTCTTTCCAGATATAAAGGTACATTATTCTATGAAGAATGGAAGGCAAGGAACTCACTGTCATTGAGAAGTTAGCTTTAAATCACTTTATCTGCATCAAGCCTTCTCAGAATAGAGATAACACACCATTTTCTAACCTTCCTGGTACAGGCTACAGAAATTGACAGAAGGAAAAGGAGACCACTGGCTAATGATGGACCTGTTAAAAAGAAAGCAAAGAAAGTTCAAGGAAAGGAAGGAGCAAGTGACTCAGTAATGTCTGGTAATCCCGGTGAGTTCTGGGTAATACTTCTTACCAGTCATGGTTCTGATAGTTTTGGATTCTCCAGAGGGCAGAGGAGACTGTTGGAGAGTTGTACCTTCTTCCTCTGTGGAGAAAGACTCCCTTTTTGTGCTTGAGCTCCTGGTGTTGGGTGTAGGAGGTGAGGGGAATGGTGGATCTGGAGTTCTGCAGTTTATCTGTAGTTTTCCTAATTTTCTCTTTTATTTATTTTAGCCATTTTTATCCTGGTTATAAAAATGAATCATTCTTGTTATCCATGTCTAGAACTCTTTTTGTTTTGCAGTCTTGAAACTTGGTACCCATGAAACAACAACTTCATTCCTGATCCCTGCCTTCTAACAGCTACCATTCCACTTTCTGCCTCTATCATTTTAACTACTTTATATTCATTCCTTTTTATTTCTGGGCAATACTCCATTGTATAGATATACCTTATTTCTTAACTCACAAGTTCTTTTTCATTCATGTGTGGGATCCACAGGGGAAGGAAACTTGTACTTACAAGCAAACTTATACATTTGATAGGCAATTTATGTATTTTGAAAATTAAGGGAATAGTAATAAACAAGGTAGAATATATATTAGAAAAATATTAAAAATATATTTTTAGAATAAGAGCAATCACATTAAACAAGGCAAAATATATATTGGAGAAATCATAAATTTTAGAAGTAAGGAGAGTTCTGGAGAGGCAGGTTCTCAGCATATAGTAATCCTGTGTTTCCATCATCCTTCTGGGTTGGTACTCTGTCAGCTATTTTGCCTTTCCAGAGAAATTTCCAGTCTGCCACTGAGATGAGAAAGGACAGTTATCTTTGAGTTTGGAGTGTGGGAGGGGTCTAAGAATCAAATTGCTTTGAACCAATCCTATTTTAGAAACTCCCTTTATTCTTTTTCAGGGTTAATGATGTCTTAAGTTCTGTCTCTTGAGTATTTTGTATGCAAATACAATTGGGTCTGGGTTTTCTTCATTACTGACTTAGGACTTAATTTGAATTGTGTGTGCTGAATTAGTGTTTGCTCATCCATTTTCCTTTCTAGCTTTAGATATTTCATTTGCATTTTTCCCTTTCTTGTCCCCATCTGTCCTTATATCTAAAACAAACAAAAAAGCAGAAGAAAAACGTTACTGTAGTTTTTAATGGTGTTTCAGCAACAAATGAAATCTGATGTGTACTTTGATATGCCATCTTTACCTTGAACCCAAGAACCCAATGTTCTTTATTTCTTTATTACATTGTAGTTAGAGCTATTGCTTTATCTTTTTCTTTTCTTTTCCTTTCTTTTGGTTTTGGTGTCTTGAGACAGGGTCTTGCTATGTAGTCCAGGCTGACCTTGAACTCATAATCCTCCTGGTTTAGCTTCCTGAGTGCTAGGACTACAGGTATGCACCACCACACCTCAATAGGTTCATTGCTTTAATGGGAATTTTCCTCTCAAAATTCTATGCTGGTTATGAATTGACATAATGAGACAAAAATATTGTTTGTGTGTTTTCTTTTTGTTTGTTTCCCAAGAGCCAAAGAAATGTCTGAGGACCAGGACTATTTTAAAGTCGCTGGAAAAGTTGAAAGAATTCTGCTGTGATTCTGCTCTCCCTCAAAGTAGAGTCCAGACAGAACCTCTCAGGCAGAGACTTGAAGTTTTACCAAAATGTACTGATTTTGAAGATATCAGTCTTCAGCGTGCAAAGAATGCAATTTCTTCTGAAGATTCCAAATCTCAGAGTACTCAAAAGGTATGTAGTTGCTACATAGATGAACACCTAGTCACCTAGAATGGTAGGTTCTGTGTGGTCACTCAGGGTAGTGGTTTCCAAGCTTGGCTGATCATCTGAATTAACTTAAGAAGCTTTTGTTTCTTAGGTTTTTTTTCCCCCTTTAAAATTCTTGGAGATTTTAAATGATAATTAGTATAAGCAGAAATTTCTTAGAGCCAACCTACTTTCCATGATTTGTGTGGGAAATCATGGTGGGCAATATGTATTGGTGTTTTAAGGTTTTTCAGTAGAGAGCTTGTCAGAGAGAAAGCAAATTCAAAGGTAAAACAAATGAATATGGGGTTTTACTTGTTCCCCTGTTTGCTTTGTGACTTACTAATTATTTTTAATCATTGCAAAATCATGGGATTTAACTCTTGCTCCATCACTGAACTCCCTAATTCAGAGTTAGAGTTGGTTCTCAACCTTAGCTTTAAATTAGAATCAGCTGGAAAACTTAAAAAAAAAAAAAAGTGAAAACTGGTATTAAGACCTTTCAGAGTTGTGTTTAATTGGTCTTCACTGACAATTGAGTATGGATATTTTAATTTTGAAAGCTTTCATTTTAATAAGTAAATATGGTTAGCCATTAAATTCAGAAAAATGGTTGTATATACACATGCACATATATGTATACAAATTTTTTTTCAGCTATTAAATTCTAATGAAAGCGAGTTTTTCCTTGAAAAATGTACAGGACAAAAAATTTTGGCTGCAATTTTCAAAAGTTCATATCCCTTTCCACAAAATCAAGACCTATGGATGCCTCTCTCAGTTTTTGACTTATTTATCTTAGATCATCAGGAATTGTGTGTGTGTGTGTGTGTGTGTGTGTGTGTGTGTATTTTGAGATAGGACCTTGCTGTATAGCCTCAGATTTGCTTAACTCACTGCCTCAGCATTCCAAGTGCTAGGATTACAGGTGTGATCCATGATGCTTTGTTATGTTTTTGTTTTTAATCTCTTTTAATACCTGGAAACAGTTTTCCTAGTTATAGTGATCATACTGTATCTAAAATTTGTTTTTTAGGGCTCATTTTATTGCTTGGAACATTTATTCCAGGACCTCAGTAGAGGCTCTTTGGTATTGTTTTATATATAAAATAACCAACTTGCTATTTCTACAACACAGGAAATTAGAAGTAATTAGATAGAAGGGTTACCTAGAAGTAGTACATGAAAATTATTCAAGGTGATAAACTATTTGATGACTTGAAAGAACAGATGAATGGTAAAAAGTAACCCAGTAAACTTAAATGCCCAGTGATCTGGGGCCATTAACGTATGGTTAGTAACATCATAACTCTTGGTAGGTTTTCTGAATTGTGAAAACAAAGATAAACTGAGTTCAGCTTGTATCTTGAGAATATAAAAGAGAATGTAATATATCTGAGAAGTCTTTCTACCCTTGTGGTTTTCTTTTCTTTTCTTTTTTTTTAAAGTTACTTAATATTCAGGTATTCAGATTGACTTATTTATTATTATCACACATAAGTAAAACTTATTTTTCTGAAAGTCTATCTTATTCTAAAAATGAGTAAGTAGAGAATGAGACTGGGTTTTTTTAGAAAAGCTATTTTTATGAATGTAGAATAACTTTTATAATTGATAGTACTCCTGGATTTTGTGTAAAAATCATACAAACAATAAAGAAAAATTACCCAAATTAAAACCAATTACATTCTTAGGTCTGACCTATATTTCTCTTGCCCTACTGTCCACACCTTACCATCTTCTTACTGCTGGTCTTTGGAGGTTTGTTGAGCTATACTGTTCAGATCAGTTGAGTCTCTTTGAAAAGCTAATGCCTTTACTTCTTGTCCCAGCTAAGCTGAAGTTTTAAGGTATTTGGCAACTGCAAAGTGTGTTTCTGGGTTTTCTCTTGGGCCATTCCTGTTCTTTTTCTTTCTCCTCTTCTGCTTTTGGTCTTTTAGGTCATATTTTTGATCGCAGAGATAACTGAATAAATTTTTAGATGTTGGCAGAGAGATGATTGTTTAAAAGTTGGACTTATCCTATAAATTTGTCTCCTTTTCTCCTTGTCTAAATTAATTCTAATAAGCAAGGGAGTTTCTCTAACCATAAATTGGAATTAATTATGGTTTTCATCACAGGGAGTAAGGATAGTAGGAGTACTAATGTTGAAAATTAGCTTCAGATATATGTTTTCCAAAAGCTGTTTCTCATATTTCTTTACCAAAACAATGATGACTTTGTTGTTAAAGATTTATAAAATACCTTGTTTTAGAGTGTGCTTGGAAATATAAAATGTTAAGTGCAATTTTTGATGTTGGAATGCTTGCTGAAAGAGGTTTTGCTCTAAATTCATACCTATTGATCTTTCATGCACTGTATACCTGGGAATAAATAATAAGAAACATGAAAATAGATTTAAAACAAGAAGTATATAAAAGTATAAAGAACATTAAAAGCATATAAAACATTAAAATATTTCAAAATTTATTTAAGTGCTTATAGTTCATTTTGACTTATAATTTAAAAAAACTTTTACTTTGAAAAAATTTCAAACCTACAAATAATTTGCCTGAATATGCCTCTAGAAACCTTTTACCTAGATTCACTAAGAGTTAGCTTTTTGCCAAATTTGCGTTTTCTCTCTCTGAGAACTTACTAGTACAGTTGATAATTTTTAAATGGTATGAATCTTTTGGTTGCCAGGACAGCCAGTTTGGACCATCTTGTAGGAGTTATGAAAATTTACAGAAATCTTCTGATTCTAAACCAACCAACAAACGATCCAAAAGCATCTATACACCATTAGAATTGCAGTACATAGAAATGAAGCAGCAGCATAAAGATGCAATTTTGTGTGTGGAATGTGGCTATAAGTATAGGTTCTTTGGGGAAGATGCAGAGGTAAGTTGGTTTTCCAAACATTATTTCATATTTTCTTGTTTAGCCATAGATATTTTTCAGTATTTTGGTTTCATTTTCTATCTATGAAAAAGTTAGTTTGATTAGTCACCCTTTAAAAACATTGTCACTTAGTCTACGGCCATACCACCCTGAATGCGCCCAATCTTGTCTAAAAACATTGTCACTTAAAGTAAAAAAACTAAAAACAAACAGACTAACTTGTGGGAGCTAGACTTGTCCCTATTGGAATGTTAACGGCTTATTCTCTGTGGTGCAGGCCCAGTACTTTTCATCCATCAAAAGTCTACTGGATGTATAATTAGTGAATAAATCATAATCATGTTAGTATGTTTTCCAAAGAAGACTGAAGCAAGAACAAATATAAGGGAGTTCTTCTGTTTACCCTTAATTTATGAGTTTCCATAGCTAGGAACAAAGTTACGTCTCAATGGAGGAGCACATTAAAGCTGCCAGGTACTAACAGGTGTTTGAAATTTCACGAATCTCTCATTCATCTTGTCATCTTAGTGTAAGTTGGGTCTCTGTTGAATTTTGAGGTATTTGATATAGGCCTCAGTCAAGAAGGTTAAAAGTGAATTTGCCATTTGATGAGCACACTTACGGAAAGTACTGACGATGGCTCTGTTGGAAGTCATGGATGACTGTGATGATTCCATAGCCTTAAGCCTGGTCTCGTTGTAGGCCATCATAAAGTGATAAGCGCCTGCTGTCTCATGAATGGGAAGTGAAGACTTAGCCAGCTTTGTCTTTTTCTGAATCCTGTTGTGGTCGTTTATATTGTGCTGTGTTTCATGTTATAAAATTAGATTATGAAATGGTATTAACGTGTTACCTGAAGACAGGAATGGATATGTAGTTAGCATCGTATAGGATGCTTATGTCGTTTGCCTGCAAATTCTTATTCCATTGCAGTCTTGTGCTCTTGTATTGAATAGTCTTTGTGTAGGGAAAGCTCAACCCTAAGGTTTTGGTATATCTAAGGACATAGAAGAAGACCTCTCATATTTTTCTGAGATATTTAAAGATGCAGATGTTGGCCCTGAACTCAGGTCATTGGATCTGGAAAAAGTAGATAACTTTCTATGCAGGGAGTGCCTTTTAAACTTTTTATTGATGTACAATACATTCAGAGAAGTGCAGAAATCCTAAGTGTATACCTCGATGAATTTTTTAGCAAAGCGAACAGAGACCCCACACAGAGAATCTTGAAATAGAAATTTTTGACATGTTCTTTTTCAATTTTTTTAGATTGCTTCCCGGGAGCTGAATATTTATTGCCACTTAGATCACAACTTTATGACAGCAAGTATACCTACTCACAGACTGTTCGTTCATGTACGCCGCCTTGTGGCTAAAGGATATAAGGTCGGCCTTGGCTTAAACTTGTGGAAGAAGGGAATTGGGATTTTCTTCCTGGGAGTGAAAACATGCTCGCTTGTAAGGTGGTGGGCAGGCTTTAATTGGTTTTAGAATTTGGCATTTTGAGAAATTTGTGTCAAGATTATTAGAATTTTTAATCTTAGTTTTTAAAAACATTGTTAGGTGTTTTTTAAGACAGGGTCTAGTTATATAGCCTAGGCTGGCCCCCAACTCACTGCAACTTGAAATCCTCTTGCTTTTAATTAATTAATTAATTTTGGCAGAACTAGGGCTTGAACTCATGAACTGGCGCTTGCTAGGCAGGCACTCTACCACTTGAGCCATGCCTCCAGTCCTGTTTCACTTTTGTTATTTTTCTGGATATGGTGTTGTGTTTTTGCCTGGAACGGGCCTCAGACCCTGATACTCCTACCTGCAGATCCTGTGTAACTGGGATCACAGGCATGTATCACTAACTTCCCATTTGCTGATCTTGGTAACTTTTTGCCTGGGCTGGTCTCAAACCACCATCCTTCCAAACTCCACCTTTTGAATAGTTGGGATTATAAGCATGAGTTACTGAATCTGGCTAATTTATTTTAAATGTTTCAGACTTGACTCTTAAACATTTTGAAATTAGTTTTTAAAAATGAGTGTTCACCAGGATTGCTATTAAGTATATCTTATTTTATTGAAGGTGGGAGTTGTGAAGCAAACTGAAACGGCAGCATTAAAGGCCATTGGAGACAACAAAAGTTCACTCTTTTCTCGGAAGTTAACGGCTCTTTATACGAAATCTACACTAATTGGAGAAGATATCCTTTTAGGATAGGAATTTCTGTCTTATATGTTCTAGGAACTCTGTTTTAAGATGACAACAAAAAATAATATTGTTCTTTAAGTGGGAACCTTTTCGATGAGATGAGGTGGTATGGTTATTCAAGCTGTGATTAGTACACTATTGAAGATGAGGGCTTAATGGTGTCTGGAAATGAGTATTTGCTCTTCAAATGCAGTAATAAAAGCAGAGGTCATTGTGCCTGATGAGCAAGAAAAAGTGAGCCTAATAAAAGCTGATGTCAGATTAGCAGCTGATTTGAGTTTCCGTCTTCCCTACCTATTGGTTTTTTAAAAGCTAAATAGTTAGCTGCAAAATTAGAGGAGGGTGTGTTTCAAAGTGATTACTATAAGGTGGGGTTAGGTCCCTAAAAAGAAGGTAAGGATAAGGTGGCCTTAAATGTTACCATGTGAAAGTAATTTTTCTGATGTGGTTTATAGCTTTAATAGCTGCTTATATACAGATCTATTTAGCTTTTACCCAAATTCTGAGGATGGTTTTGTTTGTTAAGATCATAAATAGTGAATGAACAGACTCTAAACCATTAACAGTCGTGTGGTGTTCTGTGCTGACCAGGCTGTGAGAACCGATAATTTTTTTTTCTTTCTATTTATTTATTTTTGCAATACTGGGGTTTGAACTCATGGCCTCACAAATGTTAGGCAGCACTCTTACCACTTGAGCCCACTCTACCAGTTCTTATTTTTTCTTTTGCCTGAGCTTAAGTCTCTTATTTGAAGCCTGTTTCTAAAACAGTATACTTCCCTGTTTCACTTTAGCTCATATCTCCTAATACTCAAATTCAGGATGCTAAGCCTAACTTTGTAAAAAATAGCTTTTTTCCCTGAGAATTTGGTTAATGAACTCATTTGGTATGTGCACATGTACACACACACACACACACACACACACACATATGTATGTTTCTGATTTTTTTAATGTCTTAAAAATTCTCTTGCCTTTTCTGCAGCTTTAGACACTTTTGAGAAAGAAATTAATTCATAGTGTTTTAGTGTAAATTAATTGGTTTGACTTGTAAAGTGGTTAATATTTGGGCTTCCACAGGGTCCGATGGACCTAATATCTCAGGGAAGAGAAAGCATAGACTATGATCATATTAAATGAATGCACCTAGAATGTTTTCACAAATTGCAAAAATACCCAGGAAAATGAAAATAGTTAATATTAATGGGAACTTAGAATGTATGTTTCCTTAATCATTATTACATGTGAATCCTCTAATCAAGCTTGATGATGCTGTAAATGTCGATGAGATAATGGCTGATACTTCTACAAGCTATCTTCTATGTATTTATGAAGATAAAGAAAGTCTTAAGGACAAAAAAAAGGGGGCCATTTTCATTGGCATTGTGGTAAGTATTTTGTAGGTGAAGGACAAATGATAGGTGTTCATTCATGTATCTTTAAACATAAAGAAGAAGGAAGATATTTGATGAAGTGAGCCTTCAAGTAACTGTACTAGGAAAACATTTTTCTCATAATACTGTGAAATCACTAGTTATGCTTTTCTCATATGGCCACTTGGCACTCTGTGCCATGGAAAGATCCAGATAATTTCAGCTCATGTGCTGTAGGATGTTAAGAGTTGAGGATAGATGCAGATAACCAGAAGGCTTATAAAAAATGTTCAGGTAGAAGAATAAAACACTAAGCTAACACAAGTATGGGTAGCAAGGGTTTTATCAATTTCCTCTAGAGGTTTTAAATTATAAACAATCATAGAACTATCTTAATTAGATTTGGAGGAAGAGATACTTAAGGGAAAATGATAATTGACCTATACAAAACACCATACCAAATTAACAGTAGGAATGTTTTCCTTCCATCTTATATATGATTTATGAATCTGAGTTTTAATGATTTTTGCCTTTTGTCAATTTATGAGTGAATTTGCTCACTTACAGACCTACTTGGACTCTGTTCAAAATCTTGGACATTTTAGAGTCTTTCACAACTGTCAAAATCAGCCAAGGCATAGTGGCACATCGTGTTGGTCATTCTAGTACTCAGAAGGGCTGGGGCAAGAGGATCTTGAGTTTGAGGCCAGTTTGGGCTACATAGCAAGATTCTGTCTCAGAAAACCCTCCACGACCAAAACAAACAAAAAACTTTTAGAGTCCCTTGCTCTGTTATAAGTTAAACAAAAGTAGGATAGCTACTTTTCTTTGCTTTTTTTAGCATCTACGTTTAGTGACAATATTAACAAAAATTCTACAGTTTGAATGTCTCTAATGTGTTCTTTAATGCCTTTTTCAGACTGCGTAACTGTGCTAATTTGACATTTGCTTAACCTATCAGCTTTTCTCTTAGGGAGTTAGCATTATTATGGGTGTTGAGTGACTCTAAATGATTTTTTTTCTTTGAGAAGCACTTTTTATCTAGGCACAGGCAGACAGACCTGTCTATAAATAGTAAGGTTGTTTGCTTCTTAGCTTTAACATATGTAGTGTGCTATTTTATATTTACATAGAACTCAGATTAAAGAACAGAGTTGGCAGTATACAGTTCCTACTTAGGGTATTTAGAGATACCGTCTGGCCTACTGCAAAGTTAACCATAGTGTATGAGCTGGAGTGCAGAAGAATGAAAAGTAGTCATTTTCCCTTTTAGCATTTTCTTGGATCCTGTCAACCTCAACACCACCTTCAGACTGCTGACATCCTGAGTTCTGGGCCTATGCTATACCCCTCTCCTAAATTCTAGACTCCTATATCTAAATTTTTGTTGAAGAAGGGTTTTCAAGGTTTTTTTCTGGCTCCTCAGACTTGATGTGGCTGAAATGGAGCTCATCTTCCTTTACCCTCAACACTGTACTCCCTGGACTTTTTCCTGTCGTAATGAGTGTCACACATTCCCGAGTCACTATCTGAAAGTCGTCTTTGGGGTCTGGTAGTGAGTCTGAGGTAATAGATATTGCAAATATTATAATTATAGAGTGTTTCTCTGATTAAGTAATACAACAGAGAGTCTGGCTGGCTGATATTTTTTTACTTAAATACTATAAATGACTTTTGTAATTGCTTTGTTTTCATCAAATGCGGGTAGAAACTTAGCTCCTTGTATCACATAAGCATTGATAGTGGATGAGAGTGTGGCTGAGGGAGTTTGTGAGTTTGCATCTTGGCTCCATCACTTGATTGTTTTGGGACTTTAGCTAAGTAACTAACTTAAGTTTTTTACCTCTTCAAGCCTCCATCTTTTTCAGTTTATCTTTCTTTTACTGGCTTGGGGTGATAGGTGGTAGTTTTTAGTTGTTATGGTTATTTTACTGGACCCGCTGTAATTCACAGTTTGTTATGTTTGATTTTTTTTTTTGCAAAAATTATTCTTTTTTTATGTATTCTATACAGTTAAGTACATTTACTAACATTTCAGTGGTCAGGTTAATAGGGCCATGTTATTTACTGCTATTTGTACAGCCTTGTAGTTTATAGAGTACTCACAGGTTTGTTTTTCTTCCTTGATCCTTTCAACAACCCTGTGAGGGAAGTAGGCTGGTTTATTCCCATATGGAAGAGGAAGGGTCTAGTAGGGTGTGGTGACTTGTAGTCACCCTATCAGATGCATTAGGTTCAGAACCTATACTCGAGTGTTTCTTAAAACTCACTTAGCAAATTTGTATATTTGTGCATCTGACTCATGTAAGTCTTGGAAAGCAGATGTATTTTCAAACACTTGAGAAATGTAGTGCATACTAGTGACTTATTATTGTTACTATTTCCCATGTTTGTGCTGTGTCAGCTATAACTGGAAAAATGTCTATTTCCTGTGATGTTATATTTGTATTTGTTTTCAGGGAGTGCAGCCTGCCACAGGTGAAGTTGTGTTTGATAGTTTCCAGGACTCTGCTTCCCGTTCAGAGCTGGAGACTCGCATATCAAGCCTACAGCCTGTGGAGCTGTTGCTTCCATCAGACTTGTCAGAGCAAACAGAGACACTCATCCACAGAACCACTGCTGTTAGGTAAGTTGTCATGTCACTGGAAAATAATAATGGTCCTCAAACTTAGGTTTAATTCCAAAACAAATACCTAGTAATTCCAAAGCCAATACCTATTGCTTATAAAAATTACACTTCAGCAGTGGAAATTTTTTTAAAAATTACTTATATTATCACCTTAATTTAAGATTATAGAATTTGATTTTTAAGGAGTTTATGATATTATTTAATCATATTATTTAGCAATTCACCCAAAATTTCTAGAGATAATTTAGTGTTCATTTCTGGAGATAATTTAATGTTCATTTCTTAGAAAGTTTATGTAATTTTGAAAATGCTTTGTCTATGCTGCAAAGCAGTTTTTTTTTTCTATGCTGCAAAATTGTGTTTAGTAGTTTTATTTACTACACCTAAGCATATGCTTTTTTTTATAAAGCAGTGGTTTGGGAACCGTGGCCTTTACAGGAAGAAGATGTGGTTATGATATGTGTCAGCTGAGTTTGCAATCCAGTATACTTAATTGATTCACATAGCACTAAGTACCAAGCATGAGGGTGCCTCTGGGAAGGCAAACAATTTGAAAACAAACTAGTATTGAAAGGTAGCAAAAAACCAAATTGAAACATTAAGTGTGCTGCCAATAAGGTTAGAAGAGATTGCTTACAGCTAAAATAGGAGTTTAGAAACCATTAAAGCCAAAGGTATTAATAATTAGGTAATAAAAACAAAGAGGGTGGGGAAAAGGAAAAAGTAAGATAGGAAAGAGGGCAAGTATACTGAATGATGTATAAGAAATAATAGTGAGGGAGATCACAAGAAAATAAACACAGAGAAAGACAAAACTAATCATAACCAAATAAAATACACAAAGTATCCACCAGTCAATATTTCTTCCTTGTTGAGGAGAAGGGTATGGTTTTTCTCCTCCCCTCCCCCCAACCAAGCTTGTCTTTGCAGTTCACTTTGTCACGGTAACAGCTGTTTTTCTCTGAATTCCAAGTAGGTTAGACTAGAAAGGACTGTTTGCAGACTGAGCCTAGTGCTGTTTCTCTGTTGGGTTGAATTCCTGTGCCAGTGTACCCTCAACCTGCTCTTACCAGCTGAACCCTTATCTCTCAGGCCCTCTGGGATACAGAGTGAAGGCAAAGCAGTCTGCTCTGGTTGGGCAAAACATGGGTCTGTAATCCATCTGGTGTGCCCTGGCCTTGTGGTTCTCTGTCCTGGCACATAACCAGTCTTTTCTCTTTCTAGAGTTTGGGATGAAACTCAGCTGATGTGATATGTTTGTTTCCAGCTTCCCTCTGGGGTGTGGTTCACAGCTTATACTTCCTATCCAAGTAGATCTGTGGTCATGAATCTGAGGCATCCTTGCTCATATCCACATATATACACAACTAGTCTCTTTCCTCTTACCAGAGTCTGGGCTGCAGCTCACTGATGGGTTTGCCCTTGGCTTCCTTCTGTGGTGTCTTAGGGCTCACACTTCTCACCCAAGTTGATCTCTGTTCATACATCTGAGTCCAAGGCACAGCCAGCTTCTTGGGTCCATACTGATTCTCAGGGTGGTTGCCCACTTGGCTAGTGGAGGGGGAAGCCTTTGAGGTTTGGAGATACAACAAGGCAGCATCTTCTGCTCTTCCTGGCTGAACAGTCTGACTGTAAAACTCCCCTTAGGTGATTTCCCTTTATTGCACGGTGAGCAAGTGCATGGAGCCTCTTCTCCAGCTTCTGCTTGCTCCACCACATAAACTTGAGTTCTGCAGAGTGCCAGCTGGTTTACCTATAGATCTTCTTGAGGCATCCCTTTCGCTTTTGCTTACGGCTTCACTGTGGGGGATTTTCCCCCTTCTCTACCATTTTGCTAAACTAGGGTTTGTTGTTCCTTTTATAAATCTGAAGTTCAATATTTCTGAATTTCACCTGGTCTCTTAACTGTATACTATATACTGTTGCCCTTCTTTGTCTCTCCACACCATCTACCTCTTCCAGCAGCTACCCATTAGGTGGGTACCTAATGTTTTGTTTCATATTCATTGGAGATGCAGGAAAGTGATAAATGTTTCTAATCCACCACCTTCCCTCCTAATTAATACAGTAAATGCCTGTGCATAGAAATGTTTGTGTGCTTTTTTTATTTCCTTAAGATAAATTCTTTAAAAAAATTTTTTTTATTCATTTATTCACATATGCATACATTATTTGAGCCATTCCTCCCCGCTGCCCTCTCCCTCTACCCCCAAAACCCCTTGCTTCCAGGCAGAACCTGTTCTGCCTTTATCTATAATTCTGTTGAAGAGAAGACATAAGCAATAATAAGAAAGACAAAGTGTTTTTGCTAGTTGAGATAAGGATAGCTATACAGAGAGATTCCTAGCATTGCTTCCATGTACCAATGTGTTACAACCCAAGTTGATTCATCTCTACGTGACCTTTTCACTAGTTCCTGATCACCTTCCCATATTGACCTCTGTCACTTTAAGGTTTCTGTATTAGCTCCTCTGCAGTGGGGACATCAAACACTTCCAAGTTTTGGGTTTCCTACCTATCCCCATACCTCCCGTATGTGCTCTCCCCTTATCATGTGACCCAAGTCCTACAACATTGCTGTATTCGCCCTAGATCTAATGTCCGCATATGAGGGAGAACATACGAGTTTTAGTCTTCTGAGCCTGGCTAACCTTGCTCAGAATGGTGTTCTCCAGTTCCATCCATTTACTTGCGAATGATAAGATTTCATTCTTCTTCATGACTGAGTAAAATTCCATTGTGTAAAAATGCCACATTTGCTTAATCCATTCGTCAGTAGTGGGGCATCTTGATTGTTTCCATAACTTGGCTATTGTGAATAGCGCTGCAGTAAACATGGGTGTGCAGATGCCTTTGGAGTAACCTGTGTTGCATTCCTTTGTGTATATCCCCAGGAGTGGGATTGCTGGATCATATGGCAGATTTATGTTTAGAATTTTAAGAAGCCTCCATATTTTTTTCCAGAATGGTTGCACTAGCTTGCATTCCTACCAGCAGTGTCCAAGGGTCCCTTTTTCCCCACATCCTCGCCAACACCTGTTGTTAGTAGAGTTGCTAGTGATGGCTATTCTAACAGGGGTAAGGTGGAATCTTACTGTGGTTTTGATTTTCATTTCTTTTATGGCTAGAGATGGTGAGCATTTTTTCATATGTTTTTTGGCCATTTGAATTTCTTCTTTTGAGGAAGTTCTGTTTAATTCAGTTGCCCATTTCTTTATTGGTTCATTGATTTTGGGAGAGTTTAGTTTCTTAAGTTCCCTGTATATTCTGGTTATCAGTCCCTTGTCTGACATAGCTGGCAAATATTTTCTCCCACTCTGTGGGTGGTCTCTTCAGTTTAGAGACCATTTCTTTTGTTGTACAGAAGCTTTTTAATTTTATGAAATCCCATTTGTCCATTCTTTCTGTTAGTTGCTGAGCTGCTGGGGTTCTAGTGAGGAAGTCCTTGCCTATCCCTATTACTTCCAGAATACAGGGTGATAGACATGGATCTAGTTTCAGTTTCTTGCAGATGGATAACCACTTTTCCTAGCAACATTTGTTGAAGAGGCTGTCTTTTCTCCATCGTATGTTTTTGGCACCTTTGTCAAAAATGAGGTGGGTATAGTTGTATGGATTCATATCCAGGTCCTCTGTTCTGTTCCACTGGTTTTCATGTCTGTTTTTGTGCCAGTACCATGCTGTTTTTATTGTTATTGCTTTGTAATATTGTTTGAAGTCGGGTAGTTGGTGGTTTTATTCACCTGTTTTCTTTCTCTTGGTTAAATTTTGTTTTGTGGCTGTATTGGGTTTTTATCTAGTTGTGTTTGTGCTGTTTCTGTCCCTGGTTTGGGTGCAATTTAGTATTAACTAATTCACAGTGATAAAACAAAAAAAACAACAAGAAAACAAAACAAGAAAACCCGAAGAAATCAACAGGGAGAGATGAGCAAACAGACAAGAAACAAACAAACAAACAAAAACTCCAGGTTCAGGATGAATAGAATTTCAGTCTTAGTTTAAGTTCTGGTGTTACTCCTCCAGTATCCAGTTTGGTGTTGGTATTTAAGCAGAAGCTCTGGCTTAGTCTTACCAGGTGGTTGGTTGTGGGTAGTGTTTTTTTTTTCTTCTGTCTTTCAGCAGCTGCTGATTAGTCAGCTTCTCCCCCAGTGAGGTGTGGCAGCTCTGCAGTCTACTAGTTGTCCTGCTTTGGAGTTGGCTTATCTCAGTGCTTGTTTACTAGGAGCTTGTGTCTTTGCCTCGCTCCCTTTCCCTGGGGCAAGGGCAAGGTCAGTGATCCATTGGCCGGCTGCTCCTGTCAGCATGTTGTGATGGTTGACTGTTTGTTCCTCAAAGCTGCAGAGCCTCTGACTGTGGGTGCCCTGGGACTGGGCCCTGTAGTCTGAGCCCTTGCTCCTTCCCTACTTCACAGCGGCCTATCACCTGCCCTATGTCAGCCCTCCTGCCATTGGTTTGCTGTGAGTTCAGCTTCCTTGTCCCTTCCCCCTTCTCCACTGCGCTTTCAGCAACTCCTGCCCCCTTCCGTGTTTATTCAGGTTTTTTTTTTTTTTTTTTTTTTCCTTCCTGGGGGAAATTGGTCTGTCCAGGGAGGTTGTGCTGGTTTATTGCAGGGGTGGCAGAGGGATACCATGTGACGCTTGGCTCTCACCTGTTTGGTCTGTCAAAGTTCTCCCAAGCATGTTTGGAGCTGTGGCCACCGGTGGTGGCCCGCCTGTTCTCTCAGTGTATTGTGTTGTGGAGAAGCCTTCCATAGGCTAGGAGTTCAGGATGTCATAAAGTTTCAACTCTCCCTGGTGCTTCACTTCCGCCAAGTGTGGCTCCAGTATCTCAGCAAGGTTCCTGATTCACGGAGCTCATGCTGTCTGCGTCTGTGTCCCTGTCGTCAGTTTGGATCCTCAAGATAAATTCTTGAGAGTAGAATTTCTGAGTGAGAGGGTATAAATATTTATGAAGCTTTTGGATGTTTACTAGATTTAGTAATATCTACTTATACTAGTATAGTGGAGACATTGTTATGATTTGGATACGAATTGCCTCCCCCACTGCCCCCCCCAAAAAAAGGTTTATGCATTGAAAGCTTTGTCTCAACTGGG